TTGGGACAGTCTTTTAAATAGATGTACACTGTGTGAGGAGGAAGAGAGTTTGAGAGATCATTTGTCACAGAGTTCCATAACTAGTGATATAAACGCTCTGCCTTTCATCTTATTTGGAGACATACCTAACAAAGTGCTTCAACTCAGCAGAATTAATACACATTGAGAGTTAAGAGCACATACTCTGGAGTCAAAATAATCTGGATTCCAATTTTCTTTTTGCCACTTATAAGGTGTATCATCTTGGAAACTATGTAACATCTTCGTGCCTCAATTTCTTCATCTGCAAATGAGGATAATAATAGTACTTTCCTTGTAGAGTTGCTGTGGGTAAAAATAAGAGAATATACATACGGAATTGGTAACAGATCCTGGCATGTAAGATTAGCTATAATTTATTATTATTATTCATAATTTTATACAGAGATGTATGACACTGTACTTGTTTCTAACAACAACTATCATAGTTATTATACCTGTAGCATAAGATTTATCATACAATTGCATTGCATGAATTATATTAAAACTTTTGAACAAACTATTGGGTATGAATTATGGCTGACATTTTACAGATGAAGAATTCAAAGAGATTAAATAATGTGTTAGAGGTAAAACTACTAATAAATAATGGGAGGGATTTCTAACTCTGGTCTGTTTTATTGGAAGCATTTAGTTAACCTCTTTAATAGTTCTGAGAGAGAAGCTACATGTGAACTATATTAACAAATTTTGATTTTGTAAATTCAAGGACTAAAACAATAAATTGAAAGCTTGGTGTAACTTTTCCAACCAGAATATTTAAGAATAGTATTATTTTTTAAGTTATTTTATATAATTGAGGATATTGTTAGCCTTCAATTTTTAGAAACACTAAACTAGAATCTTATAATGGAGACATTAAGGTCATGTGTTTGTATGTTACTCTTCCATTGTAGAGTTGGAAAGAAGAAGCTACACAAAATGCCAGAAATTTGTCAAACAATTGTGACTTGGTAGAGAGCAACACACTTAATAGAAGAATTGCAAGTAGGTATGTATCTATATGACCTACCTTTATGCTTAAAAGTCCTCAGAGATTGTTAAATGACCAGGAAAAGGCAAGGCAAGTCATCCAGTCTATATTTACATTTGTCCTGTAAATAGCAGTGAATTGTGGTCCACTATACTGCTTTATTGCTGTTAATTTTTAAATTTGGATATTCGAATTTTCAAATTCCATATTCTGAGCATCAGAAGAAAAGAATCACAGCTGTCAGTGTCACAGTGTGACAGCTGTGATAGAATAGTTAAGTAATACAATGATGACTGGATGAAAAACTAGAAGACTAGAAGATTTCCACTTTATGTAATAATTTTAGCTACCCACAATATCACCATTTCTTAAGCTTTGGAACACTAGTGCAGTTGAGAAGTAAGTTATATTCAACTCCACTGAGCTGCTCAAAAGAACAATTTTAGGAGCACAAAAATGAGTCCATCTCATGACAAATACATTAGGTGGGTCACTGCTAGTTTCCAGAAAAGCCGATAGTAGTTCCTACACAATTAGAGATTAATAATATTTATGAGATACTTGTTTGTTACAAAATATTTTTAAAATACTAATAAAACTTCCATATTGATAGATTATTGGGTATTTTGACCCAATATTGTTGAGCAGTGAATTAGCAATGTGAGTCTTTCCATCCCCAGAAAAAGGCAGATCTCTCCTGAATACTGTTTGTTCAAGAGCTCATATCACAAGTGAATGGTTAAATGAGCAAACATTTATCTAAAGGTCGTTACATGATAACTACCTCTGTGTGTTTGTTTTCAAACCATGGGCCTTGTTATATCAGCTTAGAAATGACAAAGACTGAAACGTTGATTGATCTGACTTCCAAACTTGCTCAACATCTCCTACTGCCAATTTCTCACTATACCTGAGCACCAGAAGTTCATTCATCAGTGAAAAAGGAGATGGTCAGCAGATACAATTGAGTTTGCCTCCTCTTATAAGACATTGCTTGGGCGATCAGTGAAACATTTAAAAAATAAAAATAAGAAAAGCATCCGTGTAAAATATTTCCAAGTTTTTATAGTGTGACAAATCTTTCCCTCCTTTCAGATACTTTTTGTGGAGAAAATACACATTTGGCATCTGATCCTATCTCAGGGTCAAATTTAATTGGAATCTGATACAATGAGTCCATATATTTTAAGGATGGAGAATGGACATCAATGAATGGAGACAAAACGGTTGATCATTACACTCAGGTAACCTGCATACTGGCAAATATATACATTGGTTAAGTGACTATAAGCATGTGCAAAAAATGATAGGTGACAGAACTAAGGAAAATTATTCTACCCACTTTTTGCAAACTTATACTCAACTCACTGAGTTTCTCTTATAATCTTCAAAAAAGGAAAGTGATTCCCTTAATAGATGGCCTAGAGAAGATGTTTTTTTCTTTATACATTTGATTTTCTAGAAAGTAACGAAATCATAAAATATCAACATCCTTTATAAATTATATTTGTAAAGAATGAAAATAATAGAATCCCCTTCTTTCTAGTTTGTTGTGATAAAATTACATATAAATATAACTATATATGTATGTATATATGTATATATACATATATACATATACATATATAATAAAAATTGTCATTTTAACCACTTTTAAATTAATCTTCAGTGGCATTAACTACATTCAAATTTTTATGCAACTATCACCATCATCCATCTCCAGAACTTTTCATCTTCCCGAACTAAAACTCTATACCCATTAAAATAACTCTATTTCTCCCTCTCCTTTTCCTCTGGCAACCACCACTCTACTTTCTGTCCCTATGAATTTGACTACTTTATATACATCATATAATTGGAATCATACAATACTTGCTCCTTTGTATCTGCCTTATTTTACTTAGCATAATATCCTCAATCTATGTTCATCCATGTTGTAGCATGTGTCATAATCTTATTCCTTTTTAAGGCTAAAAAATTTTCATTTTATGTATATACCACCTGTTGTTATCTATTCATCCATTGATAGGTAAGTAGGTTGTTTCCATTTTTTGGCTGTTGGGAATAATATTGCTATGAACATTGCTGTACAAATATCTATCTGTTCAACCCTGTTTTTAGTTATTTGAGGTATATACCCAGAAGTAGAATTGCTGGCTCATATGGTAATTCTATGTTTGATTATTTGATGAACTGACACTGTTTTCACAGCAGTGGAAATCTTCCATTTTACATTTCCAACAGCAATTAAATTTCCTAATTGTTCACATCCATACTCTATTGGTCTGCTTGTGCTACCATAACAAAATACCATAGGCTGAGTGGATTAAAAAATGGCAATTCCTTTTCTCACAGTTCTGGAGTCTACAAGTCTGTGAACATCTGGAGCATAGTCAGTTTCTGTGAGAACTCTCTTCTTGGCCCATAAATGGCCAATTCTCACCATGTCCTCAGACGACATTTTTTCTGTGTGTGCCTGGGGAGAGAGAGAGAGAGGCACAGGGGATAGAAGATCATGTTCTGGTACTTTTTCTTATAAAGACACTAATCCGATCACTTGGCCCCACACTTATGGTCTCATTTAACCTAAATTAATTCCTTAGAGACTCCGTCTCTAAATAGAGCTACACCTCTGGGTTAAAGTTTCAGAATATAAATTGGCGGTGCGGGGGCGGGGAGGGGAGACATAAACATTTAATACATAACACATACATTGTGGGGGTTTTTGTCAGTGTTTTTTGTTTGTTTTGTATATTATACAAAATATAAGTTTGAAGTGGAATTTCACTGTACTGTCAATTTTCATTTCTCTAATGGTTAGTGATGTTGAACACCTTTTCATGTGCTTATCAACCATTCGTGTATCTTCTTTGGAGAAATGTCTATTCAAATTTTTTGCTCATTATTAAATCAGGTTGTTTGTTTTTTTGTTTTTGAGTTGTAAGACATCTATCCTTCATCAGGCATTTGCTGCAAATATCAATTTCTATTGTATATGTTACCTTTTTACTCTGATGATAGTATCCTATTTATGCACAAAAGTTTTAAATTTTATTGAAGTTCAATTTATCTTTTTTTCTTGGTTTTCTTTTTTGCCTGTACTTTCGGTGTCATATCAAGAAATTATTGCCAAATTCAATATCATAAGGTTTTCCCTTTATGTTTCCTTCTTAGAGTTTTATAGTTTTCACTCTTACATTTAGGTCTTTGATCCATTTAAGTTAAATTTTTATATTTTATTTGTTTGCATGTATATATTCATTTTCCTAAAATTATTGTGGTAAGTCTATTCTTTCCCCATTGAATGGTCATGGCATCCTTGTTGAAAAATCATTTAACCATATATGTGAGGGGTTATTTCTGGTCTCTCCAGTCTATTTCATAGGTTTATATATCTATCATTATGCCAGAACCACAGTGTTTTATTACCATAACTTTATAGTAAGTTTTGAAATCAGGAAGTATAAGACCTCCAATTTTGTTCTGCTTTTTCAAGATTGTTTGTCTATTTGGGATCCTTTGAGTCTCCATACAAATATGAGGATGCGTTTTTCTATTTGTGAAAAAAAAAGTCATTGGGATTTTGATAGGGATTACATTCAATCTGTAAATTGCTTAGAGTAATATTGACATGTTAAAAACTTGTCCTTAGCCCATGAACGTTGGCTGTCTTTCCCATTATTTGAGTCTTCTTTAATTTCTATTAGCTATGTTTTCTAGTTCTCAGTGTACAAATCTTTCACCTCCTTAGTTAGGTTTATTTTTAAGTGTTTTATTCTTTCTGATGTTATTTTAAATAAAACTGTTTTCTTAATTTATTTTGCAGATTGTTCACTGCAAATGTATACAAACAATTTTCGTGTGTTGATTTTATACTTTGCAGATTCGCTGAATTTTTTATTCTAACAATTTTTGTGGCATTGTCAAGGTTTTCTACATATAAGATCACATCATCTATGAACAGAGATAATTTTACTCTTTTCTTTCCATCTTGCATGATATTTTTTCTCTTGCCTAATTGTTCTGGCTAGGATTTTCAGTACTATGTTTCAAAAAAGTGGCAAAAGCCAGTATCCTTGTTTTATTGCTGACCTAGAGGAAGAATTTCATCTTTACTATCAAGTACAATGTGAGCAGAAAAGTTTACATACATGGCTTTTACTATGTTGTGATATTTTCTTTCAGTACTAGTTTGTTGTGGTGTCATATCATGAGAAGGTGTTAAATTTTCAAAAATGCTTTTTTTTTTGCTTCAATTGATGTAATCACGTGGGTTTTTTTATTCCATCATTATGTTAATGTGGACTGCATTGATTGATTTTCATGTTAGACCATTATTTTGAATGAATAAATCTCATTCAGTCTTGGTGTATAATTCTTCTAATATGCTGCTGAACTCATTCTTCTAGTATTTTGTTGAGGGGTTTTGCATCTCTGTTCATATGGAATATTTTTCAGTAGTTTACTTTTTTTTTTTGGTAATTTCTGTGTCTACCTCCAGTGTTAGAATAACTCTGGCTTCATAGTAGACGTTAAACAGTATTTACTCACTTTGAAACTTTTAGATGACTTTAAAAATTATAGGTAATTATTCTTCAAATATTTGGTACAATTTACCAGTGAAACCATCAGAGCCAGAGCTTTTCTTTTTCAAAAAGCTTTTTGATTACAGTCGATCTTTTGGAAGAACCACCTCTTAGTCACATTACTTTCTCTACTATTTTCCTGTTCTCTATTTTATTTATCTTTAGTCTAATATTTACTGTTTAATTTACTTAATTATTCTTTTTTTCCTTATGATTTAGCTAATTTATCAACTTTGTTGATCATTTTGAAGATTCAATTCTTGGTTTTATTGATTTTCTTTATTATTTTTCTATCCTCTATCTTGTTTATCTATGTTCTAACCTACGTTATTTCCTTTCTTCTATGAGCTTCAGGTTTAAATTATCTTTTATAATTTCTTTAGGTAAAACTTTACAGATTACTGATTTGAAATTTTATTTTTAATATAATCATTTACAGCTATAAATTTTCCTCTCAGAACTGTTTTTGCTGCTTTCTCCTAAATATTAGTATGTTGAATTTTTATTTTTCTGTCTTAACATATTTTCTAATTTTCCTTGTTTCTTTTTACCCATTTTTTAAAAGAGTGTACTTTTAAATATCTACATATTTTCAAATTTTCCAGTTTTCTTTTAGTTTTTGGTTTCTAGTTTTATTCCTTTGTGATAGGAAAAGATACTTTGTTATATTTCAAACTTTAAATGGATTAAGACTTGTTTTGTAGCCTAACATATAGTCCATCCTGGATACTATTTTTACATATATACTTGAGGAAAAAGTATATTCCATTGGTATTGGCTGGAGTGTTCTGTGTATGTCTTACTTTTATCATTTTCTTTATATATTGAACACTTATTAAAATAAATTCATTACTTTTAGGCATTTGTCTTTTAAATCTTATAAAAATAAAAAAAATGATACTACAAAAAAACTATAGCAATAGTGGTTTTTATATTTGCCCATGTACTTTACTAGAGTTCATTATATATGGCTTCATGTTACTTCATTTGAAGAAATTCCTTCAGAATTTTTTGTGGGGCAGATTTGGTAGTAATGAGTTCCCTCAGATTTTGTTTTTCTGAGAATATCTTAATTTATCCCTGATTTTTAAGGACAATTTTTCCAGATAAGTGATTTTTGCTTAACTGTTTTTTTTCTTTCAGAACTTTAAATGTATCACCTTCTATACTGCAAGTACTGTCTCCTGTACTACAAGTTTTCTGCTGAGAAATTCTCTTATATTCTTATTAGAGATTCCTGTACATGATGGTTCACTATTTTCAAGATTTTCTCTTAGTCTTTGGATTTGGACAATTTGAATATAATATATCTTGGTCTTGGTTTTATTCTACTTTCAAGATTTTCCTCTTAGTCTTTGACTTTTGATAGTTTGAATATAGTATATCTTGGTCTTGGTTTTATTTTACTTAGAGATCATTGAGCTTCTTGGATTTGTAGTTCCATGTCTTCCCTCAAATTTGGGAAATTTTCTGCCACAATTTCTTCAAATAATTTATCTACTCTTTTTGTTTTACATTCTCCTTCTTGAATTTCCATAATGTATATATTGGTCTGTTGATGATGTCCTATACATCATCCCTTAGGCTCTGTTTACTTTTTCATTTCTTTTCTTTTTGTAGTCAGATAGGAGGATAATTTCAAATTACCTGTCTTCAAATTGGTTGATGCTGTCTTCTGCTTGTTTATGTTTGATATTGATCATCTCTAATAATTTTTAAAAATTTTAAATTAGTTATTGTATTTTGCAGCTCCAGAATTTCTGTTCAGTTTTCATTTGAAAATAATTTTAATCCCTGTTGAGATTGTGATTCTGTTCATATATTGTTTCCCTGATTTTCTTTAGTTCTTTTGTCTGTGTTTCTCTTTAGCTCTTTGAGCATATTTAAGTCAGTTGTCTTCAAGTCTTTGTATAGTAAGTCTGATATCTGTGCATATTCAAGGTTTTTTTTGTGATTTCTTTTTTTCCTTTTAATGGGCCATGTTTTCCTGTTTTTGTTTTGTTTTGTTTTTGAATACCTTGTGATTTTCCTGTTGTTGAAAATTAGGTATTTGAATAAAAAGAGCAACTTCCCTTAGTCTTTGCAGACTGATAGTAAAGACCTCGAATAATTAACAGGGCATATTGTGAGACTTGGAATCAGTACAAGGTGAAATTTTAGGTCTTCTAATTTTTTCTGAGGATATATCTTCCCTGAGACTATGTCTGTGATTTTTTCAATTCACCCAAATGCACAGCTGCTTTTAAATGTCTTAATTTTCCACACCATCTCATTCCCACTTCTTCTAGGCACTTTAGTTCTTCTGTAGTATTTCTTTATCTGTAATCTCTTGCCCCAAGTGTTAGAAGGTCTATAGTTACTCTTCAGCTACCATGAGGTAGGCCCATTGTTTCACATGGCTCTTCCTAGCCTGAGATGTAAGCTATGCTCTGTTCCCCATTTGAGCTCTAAATCAGGCAAAATGGAGAACATTATTTGGGGCAGCACATAGGGAGTTTAAAACATTGCAAATAAGATCTTCTCAACTTCCTCCAGACAAAGTTAGGAAAATAAACCTAAGCCATCTTCTGCCAACCATGTTATGGCATGCCAGGGAGGCAGTATGTCAAGGAAGAGTAATAGCATTATGAAACTTACCACCATTTTGATTGTGGCTTTTTCTTGATTTGGTGTTCACTTGGTTGTTATAAATCTTTGACAATTTCCCACATTTCCTATGAAGTTATTTTAGCCAGTCTCCAGTAGGTTTTTTTTTTTTTCTTCTTTTTTTCTTTTTTTAATGTATCCATGCAAATATGAGGGTTTGGAACTTCCTAATCCATCATCTTTTTGACATCACTCTTCTTTCCCCAGATTTTTATTTTAAAGCATTTCAAGCTTGCAAAAACTTTCAACAAAGGTATAAGAAATACCCTTATTACTTAAATTTGCAAATTCTTAACACTTTGTCAAAATTTGTTTTAACTCTTTATAAAAATATAAACATTTTTCTGAACCCTTTGAAAGTAAGTTACAGACATCATCATACTTAAGTTTTAGTATGTCAGCATGTATCTTCTAATTACAATGACTTTGTCTTATAAAATTATAATATCATGGTAAATACCATCCCACCAGGAAGTGGTCTAAATAGAAATTGAACGTGAGTCCTTTTCCAACTCATTAATTTACACTACGCCTGTTCTCTGACAAGTAAAGTTTTTTTGTGTGTTCTGATTTTTACATAATCACCAATCAGCCTTCATCATATTATCTGACTTTCCATACAGATTTGATAAGAAGAATAGAATGACCCAGGATCAATGATGGCCACTGAGAGTGCATATGTATGTGTATTATCTAGATGTGTGGTAATCTTTTTGTTTTTATGACTTCCTAGTAAGTTATGTTCAAACTATTTTAAAACACAAGGCTGTTTATTTTCAATCATTGATAGTAATATTTGTATTGTAATCATTTTACAAAATATCAAATTATTAGTAAAAAGATATTTTTATATTTACAGCTACTTCTTACCTCATTGGCTGTGATGTGTCATCATGCTACAAAAAAATATCACCTTAATATTTCCATGTTTGTCACAACTGTCATGAGTATGTATCATACAACTTGGTTTCACATCTCTTGGAGAGATATATCCCTCTCAATTCAGTTTTATAAACATTATTAAAATATCAAATGTTTTATTTCAGTTAAACAAAACTTTAGAGATAAAATGTCATTTACCAATACCAAAAACATTACACACACATACTCATACATTTTTCTTTAAATCATATTTTCTAAATAAATCTATATATCATTAATAGAATGTTAAAATTTAGAACTATTACCACTAGTCTTGCTATGTGATATTGATTCAAACTTGTTTGAGCTAGCATAAGCAAAGAGACAGAATATTTACCTTAATAATGAAGAGTACTTTTAGAATTCAAGGGCAAAAATGCAAGAATGAATAGAAAAGGCCAAGTGTTCTTGTATTTAGCTTTTTAGTGTAATTACCAGTATATGCCTTTTCTTTAGAAATTAAATGTACGTATTATCAACAATGTGAGTAACAAATAGAAGAAATAATCTGATTGTTTCACAAATTGGCATGTGTACTCCTTTGTCTCTATGGTGTTTAACTGCTGTCTCCCATGTTTTATGTTGCACAATAAAAGATGTTTAATATGAACCAATGAAAATGGTTTATCCTACAACCTGTACACTTGAAATAAAGTCCTCAATATTACTATAGATTTACTATATGTAATATATTTATATAATAACTTTATGTGAGTTAATTCTGGTCTTATGTCTTGATTTCAGTAGTTAATATTTGTTGTGATTTTATCTATGTAATTAGTGCTGAAGAAAGTAAGATCTACCTGCATCTATAACACATCAATTGTATTAAATCTTTGAAGGGGCTTGTGGTCTGTGCTAAACCTCTAACAATAAATTTTTTTAAAAAGTAGAATACATAATGCATGAAGTTGTGATGGGAAAATTTTCTTGGCCAAAGATTTGACTAAGTATCTGAGAAAATCCTTTATTGACTAAATAATAAATTTATTTTATAAAATAAAACTTTAGCAATTTGAATATCAAAGAGAAAAATATTGGATAGAATGTTCTCTCTATCATTTTTTGAATAATAGTAAGAATCAGCTATAATGCACATTATTTTCTTAGTTATCTGCAGGTAAGCCAGTCTTCTCTGAAACTTCAAATTATCTCAGAACAGGAAATTCTCATCTACTTATTTTCTCCTCCAACTCTTTAGATTTAACTTTGCTGACATACTTTTATTTTTTATAATAGTTCATGTACTTCTATAAAAGACACTAGCATGTATCAAGTTTCTTATGATATAGTGCAAGATGAAATTAGAGCACCTCTATTCACTTAAATTTTTTCTTAACATTGTTAAGAACCATATCTTTTTACATGATCATTTATGAAGTCCTTATAGGTATAAAGAAAGAAAAATATCCTATTGTAAATGGCTCTTCTGCTGCTTTGGACTCCACCATGCGCAGGTCCCAGTCTTGTTAGAACTTGACTGTCCAAGAAGGTGCAAACTGCTTCAAAATATTCTTAGGACACCAGAATTGCCAGTCGTACATTGAAAAACATAACTTATCATCATTGTAAGTCTAGAAATCTTAAATTTATCTTAAAGATTATAATTGTTACATATAAGTGATTTTCACAAATTGTTTTTTAAAATGATTGTAAATGATGATTAAATTTTATATACATTTTCCAAACATCAATTTTATTAGATCACGTTTTTTTTATTTTTTAAAAGGAAATGGACCTGACACAAAGAATGAACCTTATAATGTGGGAAGTCCATGTGAAGACTCTCCAGATGACTGTGAAGATAAGCTTTATAGTAAGTTTTACATTTCAGTTTGCTTAATGTTGACTGTGGATCTGGGAGCTACGTGTTCTTTAAATCAAGCATTTAACAATATTTCACAGGAAAGGTTAATATTATTTTATTCTCCCTCTCTCTCCCCAGAGTGACCATGAAGACCATTAATTAAATCTACTGGAATGAAAATTAGAATACCTATGTTTAAACTCAAGTTCTCAACTTAAAATTTAAAGACCCTAATTGGGGCAACCTAGGTAACATAATGTTAACATAAATGCAAATTTTTCTCTGCTCCATAAAAACTTTCTGGCCTCTCTTGTTGGAACCCTAAAAGTAGACATATTGTTTTCAGGTTGCCAGTGTTCTCAGATTGTTTGCTGCTCTATAACTCTCCTACCTGCCTGACCTTATTTTGGCATGTAATTTTTTACTAAGTGATCTTTATTCATCCATGTGCTCACTGACACATCAGAAGGCATTAGCTGATGATCACATTGTCCCTTACAGTATCTTATTCCATTTCTTATGTAAATCTAACCTAAAGTTTAGAATTAACTAAATGGGTTTCAATTACATGTTTATTCCCTTAAATAACGAAAAATCCTTTTTGCAGAACCTCTTGCAAACAAAATTTCTCAATCCCTGGGATTAATGTTAATAAAATAATTTTTAATAAGTTTGTGGAAAAATAACAAATCCAGAAAAAATATTCTTTATCTTTAGGCTTGGAATACCAGAACTCTTATTTTTCTTCACCTGACCAGGTCACTCTGTTTCCTTTTAAAACAAGGGAAATGAATTCTCTTTCTCTTTCTCTTTCTCTTTCTCTTTCTCTTTCTCTTTCTCTTTCTCTTTCTCTTTCTCAATCTCTCTCTCTATTTATATAATATGTCTCCCCTCATTCTTCTTTGTTCTCTTTCTTTCACTTTCAACTTCACTGATTTTTACTCCAGTTTTTAAAAAAATACATACTAATTATAACATGAGGTAGTTTTTTTTTCCTCAAGAGATTAAAAAATAAGGTCTACAATGGTATAAAAAATGTAATAGAAGTAAAATAAGAATAGGAAAAAGAGAAGTATTACTCGAGAAAATTGAACCTATGACATAGAAGATAAATAGCTTAAGCCCTTTATGCACCGATAAATGCATGAGAAAATGAGAGTTACTAGAAAAAGAAACATGTCTAAGATTGGAACACAGTGAAGTGGAAACATCTTAAAAATATAAGACCAGGATATGAATATATAATTAGTTTAGTATATTTTTTAAAAAGTATGAAAACAAAATTCCTACTTATAAAATAGGAAAAATTTTATAAATTAATATAATTTATACAATATATATAACTGCAGGAAAAGCAATTCTAAGAGGAAATTTATAACAGTAAATGCTTATATTAACAAAAAAAGAAAAAGCTCAAGTAAATAACTCAACTTTATACCTCAAAGAACTACAAAAAGAAGAACAAACTATGCTCAAATTTAGTATAATAAAATAATAAATATTAGAATGCAAATAAAGTAGAGACAGAAAAGACAATAGAAAAAAAAACATAAAACTAAGAGCTGTTTTTTTAAAAATAAACAAAATAGAAATATCTTTAGCTACACTTATCAAGAAAAAAGAGAGAGGACTCAAGTAAATAAAATTAGAAATGGAGAGGAGATTTTGCAAATGATACCACACAAATAAAAAAGTTCAAGAGAGATTACTATAAACAATTCCAAGTCAACAAATTGGACAGCCTAGAAAAAATGAATAAATCCATCAAGATATACAACCTACTAAGACTGAATCATGAAGAAACAGAATATCTGAACCAATAAATTACTAGTAAAAAGATTGAATCAGTAATCAAAATCTCCCAACAACCAAAAGCCCAGGACCAGATGACTTTATAGCTGAATTCTGTCAAATACTTAAAAAATTTTAATGGTATTTCTGAAACTCTTCTAAATATTTAAAGAGATGAGAACAATTTTAAAGTAATTTTTGAGGCCAAAACTAGACTGCTACCAACATCAGAGAAAGACACTACAATTAAAAAAAAAAAAAAGTTAAAGGTCAATATCACTTATAAACATGGGCCTGAAAATCTCAACAAAATATTAGCAAATCAAATGTAACAATACATTAAAAAATCATAAATTATGATCAAGTAAGATTTATTCCAGGGATGCCAGGATGGCTCCACATCCACAAATCAGCCAATGTGATATATCATGATAACAAAATGAAGAATAAATATCACATAGTTATCTCAATAGATGCAGATAAAAAAGCATTTGACAATTTAACATTTTTATGATAAAAGCTCAGCGAATTGGGTATAGATGGAACTTACCTCAACATTATAAAGGCCAGTTATGACAAGCCCACAGCAAGCATCATATTCACTGATGAAAAGTAGAAAGCTTTTCCTAAGATCAGGAGTAAGACAAGTATGGTCTCTTGCCACTTTTATTCAACAAAGCACTAGAAGTCCTAGCCAAAGTAACTAGGCAAAAAAAAAAATTTTCAAAAAAAAAATCCAAATTATAAAAGTAGAAGAAAACAGTTTTTATTTGAAGATGATATGATGGTATATATAAAAAAATCCAAACAGCTTCACTAAAAAACTGCTGGAATTAATCATTGAATTAAGTAAAGTTGCAAGATACAAAATTAACATACAAAAATCAGTAGTGTTTATGTACGCAAATAACAAAGTATCAGAAAAAAAATTAAGAAAATAATCCATTTCAATTGCATCAAAAAGAATAGATTTAACCAAAAAATTGAGAGATTTATATACTGAAAATATAACACATTTATGAAAGAAATTGAAGACACAAGTAAATGGAAATATATTCCATACTGATGGATTGGAAGAATTAATATTGTTAAAATGTACATACTACCTAAAGCTATCTACAGATTCAATGTAATCCCTACAAAAATTCCATTGGCATTTTTCACAGCTAGAACAATCAATTCTAAAATTTGTGTAAAACCACAGAAGACATCAAATAGCTAAAACTATCTTGAGAAAAAGAATAAAGTTGGAGGTGTCACACTCCCTTATTTCAAACTATATTACAAAGTTTAGTAATCTATAGTAAACAAAAGTTTAGTAAACAAACTGTGTGTACTGGCATCAGTGGAACAGAAGAGAGGGCCCAGAAATAATCTAATGCATGCATGGTCAATTAATTTACAACAAAGGACTCAAGCATATACAAAGGTAAAGAATTGTCTACTCAATAAGCAGTTTTGGAAAAACTAGATAGTTACATGAAAAAGAATGAAACAGGACCACCATCTCACACTATATACAAAATTAACTCAAAATAAATTAAAAACTTAAATGTAAACCTAAAACTATAAAACTCCTAGAAGAAACTATGGGGGCAATCTTCTTGTTATCAGCTTTGGCAATTATTTTTTGTATTCGATTCCAAAAGCACAAGCAACAAAACCGAAAATAATTAAGTAGGACTACATTAAAATACAAAGCTGTATAGTAAAATACTATTCAACCATAAAAAAGGAAATTCTGCCATTTGCAACGATATGAATGGAGTTTAAGAGCATTATGTTAAGTGAAATGAGTCAGAGAAAAGTAAATATTATATGATATCACTTACATGCGGAATCTAAAAATAACAAGCTCTTAGATACAGAGAACACACTGGTGGTTTTTAGAGGCTATGAGGTGAAGTGAAAGTGATCAAAAGGTACAAATTTTTAGTTATAGGATGAATAAGTTCTGGGGATGTAATGTACAGCATATTGACTGTAGTTGAAAATATTATACTGTATTTTCAAAAGTTGCTAAGAAAGTAGATCCTAAAAGTTCTCATCAGAAGAAAAAAATAGTATAACTATAAGGTTATGGATGTTAACTAAATTAAGTGGTAATCATTTCACACTATATGCATATGTTAAATTATTGTATTTACCTTAAACTAATACAATGTTATATGTTGATTATATCTCAATAAAACTATGAGGGAGAGTAAAAGATAAAAGGAAAAAGATGAATTAAAACACCTTATATAAGTCAAAGAAAAAATGTTACATAAAAAGAAAAGAATCTATCACATATCATGTTTCTCCAAAATACCACATAGCAGAAGACAGTAAGATAATGATGGATAACTTAAAGTTTTTGGTGTACTATGTGCCTGCTCATAGGATAGAGCCCACTGCATTGTTATTTAAGATAATCTCTGAGTCAAGAGATTATTTGAGATATTTTACTATCCTATGTGTGCAACTTATATAATTTTTACATTGACTGTATATTAATTATTTTAATTAAAAAGAAAAATGCTAGATGACTCACACTTTCTAATTTCAAAACTTATTACAAAGATACAGTAATCAAAACAAAGTGGCACTGGTTTAAAGATGGACTATGCCAGTGGAATAGAATAGAGACCCCAGAGATAAATTGTCATATGTGGCTATATATTAATTTTAATAATCCAAAGAAATGCCTTAACTATTAAATAACAGGGCATCACATAAGCAGACTACAAGGAATAGATAAAACTTTTATCACTTTACTGTTTATAGCTTATGAGGTTAATGATTTCAAAATAACATTATAATTGATAAAGATGATTCATCTCCAATCTGTTTAGATGTCCTACCAAAAAAATGTGATCAAAGAAACCTGTTAAATATCAGACCAGACTCATCTTTTTTTCTTTAATAACTGACCTCATTTAACTCATTACCTTAGCTCATGATAATGAAAATTAATTAGTTTTTAATACATTTTATGTTTATGCCTTTAAGGACATAATCTTTTTCCACAGAGATTGTGAGTTTTTCATGATTAATATTGTATAAACATGCTTTTCCTTTCAGCTAACCCCTGCATCTACCAGGATGAATACACTGAACTGTAAGTTACAAAAGCAAGTTCTTGGATGCAGCCACCCATCAGCTCAATTACTGTACATAGCTAGCTGTCTCTGTGACATTGAGATAGCATAACCTTTGTTATTTACACTATAATGTACTGTTGGGAAAATGTTTGCTTGACTGTATTTTTTACCTTACTTTGCTTCAGCAACTTCTGCTGAATTTCATTTGGTTTAATTATACTTGAGATCCTAAATTTCACTAACCATATATGGGCTTCAAGTATTTACAACAATGCCATGCACTCCTGTCCTTATTCATCCTGAAGTAACATTGTTGTAAACTTTCTTACCATTGAAGTGAAAGGTCCAGTTCAACACCTGCCTCATATTTAAATCATGAGATTTATAGTTCTTAAGTTTACATAATTCAGCTGATGGCATAATTGGGTCCCTCAACAATAACCTGTGCTAGAGGAGATTTTTTTCTCTGTTTAACTCCTTCCTCTGCTTTCCCATGTCTCCAACCACCCTCTTTGTTTTCTCTGCATAACTTACATGAACTAATAATTCCTTACTTGTTAACTGTATTTCTATTTTAAATCAATCAATAAAATAATCCACAAAGCAACAAGAGTCCAGTCTTATTAACTGTAAGGTAAATATTGCCTAATTCCAAGTGGTTTAAATGTTCAATTGTTTCATCGCTATATCTATACACATTTTTAAAGCAGGGAAAATAAAACTTGTGTGTCCTTAACACAATATGTATTCAGCATTGATTACATACAAGGTGTAATCCATATAGTAGAGAGGATATTGTATCCCTCATTTCAAATAAAGATGTAAATATTAGTGAATCTGAACGTTAAAGAAATTGATGAGGTGTATGGCTTCAAAGAGAGCCCATGACCTGGTATTTTGCTTTCAGTTTCAGGATTTTTTCTGGTTTGTGCTTTTTTTTTTCCCCCCATAAATGGGCTCTTTCTTTCTAAAAGTTTATATAATATAAAAGAAAATTCTCTAGATTTTTGTCATTCGCCCCCATAGTTTCTCCTAGGACAGCTCTGGGATCATATACTCTGAACCACTGAATAATAGTAGGGATGTGGTATTTCTGCTACTCGGATTGGCCTGTAACTTTTGAAACTTTTCATGGGAAGAAACTGATAAAGGAACACAGGAATCTCACTAGGGTTAATCCAATCACCTCAGGTAGAAATAGAATAGAAGATTTGTCAAAAATGTGTGGTCATTGAATAAAGCCTGATTATCATTGAGAAGCATGAAAATTATTTCACTTCTACAAATGTCGACTGCATTTAGGTTTCTGGCTTAAGGCTGCAGATTGTAAAAATCATTATCTCAATAGGAACTGCCGTCAGGTATTTAGAATTTTGCCAAATATAGAGCAAACATGAAGTTATTTATGTGATATCACTTAAACAATACAACAGCCTTCTGGAAGTGGAATTTATTATCATAATTCTACATATGAGGACACTGAGTTTCCAAAATTTGCCATGACTTCCTCATGGTCACACAACTAGAAAGACGTAGAGATCTTGCATTAAGGGCATCTTCTTCCAAACTTCACATGGCATCAAACAGTGTACCACCAGATGAAGAAATAACAAGAAGTTAATAAAAGATTTTAAAGATGGCTATGTGTAGAGTCAAGAGAGAAGATGGAGTGATCAATCAGTGAGATCATTTCATAAACTATATAAATGTCTAACCAATGTACTGTATACTTGAAACTAATAAAAAAAAGATTCTCATATAGAAGACACAGACATAAAATTTAGATTTTGAAAATGTTTTATTTCTCATTAATTCCAATCATTTCATAAAAAAGATTATGTACTTTTTAAACGAAAATTCATATTGAGCTATTTACTATGAATTTATCGTGAATTTTTATTATTTTCTTTAAAAAAGTGGGTACCTGCTGTGATATTGTATTTATAATAAGACATGCATATTTGTTCTTTGCCCTGGTCCTGGCACAGAGCTCTTTAACCCTTGGGATTTCCTAAGGGATAAAAGGTCTCTCTTTTTATGTTAATGAGACAACTTTTAGACTACACCAAAGGATGGGAGTTGGCTGCCTGGAGACCAATCATGAGATTAGAAGGTTAAAACTTTTAATCCCACCCCTTGACCTCTGGGGAAAAGAGGACTGGAGGTTGAATTCATCAATCTTGGTTATGAAATGAAGCTTCTATAAAACCTCAAAAGGATTGAGTTTGGACAGCTTCCAGGTTAATGAGCAAATGGAGATTTGAGAAAAGTGGTGCCTCAGAGAGGTTATGAAAGCTCTTTGCCCTTTTTCCACACCTTTCCCTATACAACTCTTCCATCTGGCTGTTCCTGAATTGTGTCTTTTTATAATAAACTGGTAATCTAATAAGTAAAATGTTTCTCTGAGTAAAATGTTTCTCTGTGAGTCGCTCCAGCAAGTTAATCAAATCCAAAGAGGGGGTCATTGGAACTTCTGATCTAGTCTGTTGGTCAGAAGCACACGTGTTAGCCCAGGTGCTAACCTGGGCTTCTGACTGTGGCTATAGTGGAGTGGGGCAATCTTGTGGAACTAAGCCCTTAAACTGTGGAATATGTGATATTGTCTAAATTCACTATGTCATTTCTAGGTATATGTGCTGTGTTTTATTTTTAAGTCATTGCCATTTTGTATGGTGTATCATATACTTTTAATCTAAAATCTATTACTTTTATTACATGATTGTCCTTTTCTCAAATATTTTGTCACATTTATCTATGCTTTCTCTCCTGTGATATCTCACGGATGAATCTTGACAACTTCTTTAGTGTCCATATATCTTGAATTTATTCTCATTCTTTCTAACTCTTGATCTCTTTGTAATGTATTCTGAAAGAGTTTCTCTATCAACATTTCTTCTCATTAATTCATTCTTTACCTATTTTTGTATCCCATGTACTATGAAATCCTACCATCCTTTGAGTTTTTCATTTCAACTATTTTTTTCACTTCTAGTTATCTCCAAGTAGTTATGATTTATAATTTCTTAACAATCATTTAAATTTCCATTATGTTTAGTTCCCTAAGGATATTTGCTGTGTATTGACTTATTGAATAGCCCTGCTTCCTTTGGTAGGTGTCGTTGCATTATTGCCTTTCTCTAATAATACTGGAGGGAATAATATATTTCCTACAAATATATATTGTTTGTTTAGTTAAGTCTGCAAAGATCAGACAAGGCTTTGTCCTCACTTAATTTTTTCTTCATTTGGTTGCTGGAGTTTGAAAGACATCAATCCTGAGGGGCTTTATGTTGTAGCTGACGGTCCCCTGATCCCTCTCTTCTGTTCCCACATATGGACATTTCTTGTCCTCAAGATAACATCTCTGCAGCTCTAGCTCATAATTTCTTTTCTTCCTACCTACTGAGTTCCTTTTAATTGCCAAGGCCTAATGGCTGCCAGAAATTAAGTATATCTCTTGTTCTGGTTCTTGTCTCTCCACTCTAACCTGCCTCCAGCATAATCTCAACATTATAATTGGCATAAAAAGAGCAATTTTAGTAATTGAAATATCATTAGAAAAACAACTATTACTGTGAATTTGAACTCTTTAGCTTCTAATCACAGTTTTAACAAAATTATAAATGAAAGGATAACTTTTGAAACATTTTAATAAAAGAAAGATTTTAGAACAAAATTTTCTTGTTATGTATTAAAAGAAACATTTTAGAGCACAGTTTTTGTTTGTTATTTCTGAAATTTCAGCTATAATTTGAACTCTTAAATGAATGTAAAAAGGCAGTCTCTTCAATAAATGGTGCTGGAAAAATTGGTCCCTACTTTATAACACTCACAAAAATTAACTTGAAATGGATTAAAGACTTAAATATAGTACCTGAAACCATAAAACGCCTAGAAGGAAACATAGAGAAAAAGCCTCAACATTGGTCTTGCCACTGATGTTTTTAGATATGACAACTTTTCAATCACAAGCAACAAGAGATAACAAGTGTTAGTGGAGGATGCAGAGAAAAGGGAACCCTTGTGCACTGTTGGTAGAAATGTAAATTTGTACCACCATTATGGAAAACAGTATGGAGTTCCTCAAAGAAAAAAAAATCTAAAACTAAAACTAAAAATAGACCTACCATATAATCCAGCGATTCTACTTCTCGGTATTTATCCAAAGGAAACGAAAATATTAACTTGAGAAGATATATGCAACTCCGTGTTCATTGCAGCATTATTTATAATAGCCAAGTTATGGGAGAGGGGAGGGAACTCTCATCATTTACAAAGGAATGGATAAAGAAAATGTGGTATATTTGTACAATAGAATACTATTTAGCCATAAAACAAAAGACATCCTGCTGTTTTCAACAACAAAAAAGGGATCTGAAGGACATTATGCTAAGTGAAATAAGGCAGACAGAGAAAGAGAAATACTAGATGGTCTCAGCTCTATGTCAAATATAAACAAACAAAACAAAACTTACACAGAAAGAGATCAGATCTGTGGTTACCTGAAATGTGGGATGGGCTGTGGGGAAATTGGATGAAGGTGGTCAAAAAGTACAGACTTCGAATTACAAGACAAATAAATCCTGGGGACGTAATGTACTACATGACGACTATAGTTAACACTGCTGTATGGGAATGTATGTATGTCAAGTCATTATATGGTACAGTTTAAACTCATGCAGAGCTGTATGTCAATGGTATCTCAATAACACTGGAAAAAAATATTGATCTATCATCTATTTATACGGCCTGGCATTTATAATCCCCACATCTACCAGTACTTGGATGTGGGCTCTCCCAAGGAAGAATTAAGGCCATGGATAGGGCAATTTTTAGAGAGAACAGAACTTCTAGCTGCTGGAGGAATACGCCTTTTGGTGCAGAAAGGGGCCTGGATAATGAATGCATGACAGCATGCATGGATGAAATCGTCTTTGAGAGAGCCAGATAAATTCTATTTCTAAGCATGTGGTAACCTAGTTGTAATAGGCAAGAATTTTTTTACTAGTCAGTGCATTAGTAGCCCCTTTGCTGGGAGATCTATGCCCTGATTGGGTGTGTCCTGTCAATTCTATTCCTGTAGTTACTTATAGTTTTGATAGAAAAATG